TGATTGATTATAGTTTGAAGTCAATTTTGTTAGATATTAGTATAGCCACGCCCACTTTTTCTTTGGTCTGTTTGATTGAAAAACCTTTTCCCTCTCCACACCCTCCCTCTGGAGGGAAAGTGGGGGGGATGTGGAGGGAAATGGGAAGAGGGGAGGAAGTGGAAATTTTTAATAATAATAATAAGAAGAAAAAACAAAAAAAACCCTTTTCCCAACCCTTTACTCGGAGTAGATGTCTGTCTTTGTGATTGAGGTAAGTTTCTTGTAAACAGCAGAATGTTGGATCCTGTTTTCGAATCCAGTTTCTTAGCCTGTGCCTTTTTATAGGTGAATTGAGTCCATTGATATTAAGTGATATTAATGACCAGTGGTTGATAATTCCAGTTATTTTTTTTTTTTTTTGGTGGTAGAGTTTTGTGTTTCCCTTCTTTGAGTTGTGCTGGTGAAGGGTTGCTAGATGTCTGAGTTACTGTGGCCATTTTTAGATTTCTTGGGTTGTGATTTTCCTTCTGTACTTTCTGTAAGGCTGGATTTGTGGCTACGTATTGTTTAAATTTGTTTTTATCCTGAAATATTTTGTTTTCTCCATTGATGGTAAACAAAAGCTTGGCTGGGTATAGCAGTTTGGGCTTGCATCCATGGTCTCTTAGTTTCTGCAGCACATCTATCCAAGACCTTCTGGCTTTCATGGTTTCCATAGAGAAGTCAGGTATAAGTCTGATAGGTTTACCTTTATAAATTACTTGACCTTTATCCTTTGCAGCTCTTAATATACTTTCTTTATTCTCTATGTTTTGTGTTTTGATTATTATATGGTGAGGGGATTTTTTTTTGATCCTGTCTATTAGGTATTCTGTATGCTTTCGATTTTAATAACAACACTTTTCTTTTAGCAATTTGGTGACCATTAGTGTGAGGCTTTTATTTCAGTCATTCAAAGAGGGGTAGATGAGGACACTGATGTCAAGGTCTCCCTCCAGTAGAGCAGTGAATCCAAGGAGAGATTTACTCCCCACATCCTCCCACGCCCTGTAGTCATATCTGGAGATATATTATTATTAGAACTAGATGATGGCTGCTGTGCTATTGGCTTATCACATGTATAGAAGCCTGCTATACTTCCTACCTATGTTCCCCAAGCATCATTAGTTTCAGTTAAAGAACAAACTGTGTAAGAGAAACTATCCAAAGTACAGACAAGGTGACAACTGATGAATAGTGCGGATATAGATCTTTCACTCAGGTAATCGAGGCCTCAGTTTAGTAAGGTGACCAAAGCAACAGGAGGACACGCATCCTCTAGCATTTAGGGTTCAGCTTCAGGTCTAGTCCTTTTACCTTGACTTCTTTGCATGCCATGACTCTTTCCTTCCTTTATCTTCAACTCCATTCTCCTAATCCTTCATGTCCAAATGCAAAATTTTACTCTTCCAAATTTTTATACATATTAATCAATATCTCTCCCCTCATCTTCATATGAGATAATCTTACTTTCATTTATATTACTAAATAAACAGAATTTATTTGTTAATTTTAATTAAAACATAAATAATTTCCTCCTCCCTCTACTCTTTTCTAACCCTTCCATTCACCCCCACCTTTTTCTTCCCAAATACACTGGGCTGGAGACAGTCTTTGTGTGCAGCACAATAAGACCTGAAACACACAATTGCCTACATGAGCCGTCTTTATTCTTGTAGCTCATTTACCCAGTCACATCCTGCCCCAACTGTCCTTCCTCTCTGCACTTACAACTCTTTTCTGACAAGCTTTACTTTCACTTTAAACTAATTTTTAATTTAACATACAGCACAGTGGGCTGCATTGAGGTAGGTTTAGGTTTATTTGTTCTAATTTGCCTTCACCCCTGCTGTTATGCATTTATCCAGTTTTGGTATTTGGTTGATACTGGCTTCTGAGAATGTGTTTTGTTATGTTTACCCCTTTTCATGTCTAATTTTATTAACTTTAATAATCTCTCTTCTTTCTTTACTTAGACTGGTGGTTTGTCAATTTTTCTTAGTTTCTGAGGCAATTCTTTGATTATTCTACACATTCTTTCATTCTCTATGTCACTACTATCCACTTCAACAGCTTTATTTTTTTGCTTTGTACTAGGTTTGGTTTATTATTTTCTTGACCTTTAAGCTGTATAATAGAATATTTATTTGAGAGCCTGTAGAGATTTTACTGTGTGCACTTATAGCTATAACTTCCTCCTTACACTATGTTGGGCATATCTCAGAGGCTCTGATGGACAGGGCCTATGATCTATATTTGTTTATAGGACTTTTGGAATTTTTGTCATGATTTCTTCAATGAAATATTGTTTTTAATTCAAAAGTGTTCTGGGCTGGCACAGTGACTTGTGAGGTTGACCTCTTGGCCTCAATTTGATGCCCAGAATCCACATAGAAGTAAAAAAGGAGAATTTATTACACGAAGTTGCTTTCTGACTTCCACATATGTGTTCTGTGTCATGCAAGGTTCATGACACAACTGTACCCACCTCCCCAAACATTAACAAAAAGTTAATTTGAAGAGCTATTGGCAGTTGATGGTTGCTGGAAACATAAAAGTTACTTTTCTTTAGGTATATGGGACTTAGTAGATTTCATAGGCCCAGTGGATGGCCACATGCCCCTGTGCTTCAGCTCAGCACTAACTGGACCCAGAAGGAAGAAATGAAGGGATGAAGGAAGGAAGGGAGGAAGGGAGGGAGGATGGGAGGGAGGGAGGACACTTATCTAAATCAGTTTCATTTTTGGCTTCTGCTCCTGCTTAATGATGAGAAGGAAATGCCACAAATGATTGTGACATTAAAGTAAACATTCGTAGGTCATTAAGAATGGGTTTTGTCTCCGGCTCACATACACATTTTCCCTTCTATTTTTATACTGGAACAGTTTTATTTTTCTTCTCATTGTGTCACTCATGTGTCACTATCCACAAACATCCTGTACACAATTTGTTTCAAACTCCCTACCTCTCCCACCATTTTGGATATTAACAGGTGGCATTTTTCCTTTAAGCATATCCTATCCTATTCCTTCTAGAAGCCCCTCCCAAATCTGCTCCACAGTATCACCATGCACTTATTCCAGACAACAGTACCTTCTCCAAAATGCTGCCCCATGCTCTGTACAAGATAGTGCCTTCAATTGATGGTGTCATTGTTCTCATTGATAAAGTATTGTCTTCTCACACATAACACTCGCTCACACTCACTCTCTCTGAAATCTTACATTTATTGGTTGGGCTGTATAGACTCTCAAATTAAAAGTGGCCTATACAAGACCTGGGAAAAGCATTCTCCAAAGTAAATGTGCATTTACTGCAGGTTACAGATCATAGGAGATGCCCTTAATTCCGTCTTCCACAGCTGACTGGTGTATGTTTTAATGCCTCGAAGAAAACGCCCACTGGATTTTTTTTTACCTGAATATTTCTTCTTGTGAAAGCCTGCTTCTCTTTACATAACTTGAAATTTTAGGTGATTATAAAAAACAATGAATTTTATTATGGATTTTACACAGGTGCATCATTTTACTTTAGTTATCTGTTCCCATCCATGCTCTCCTTTCCCTTCACTACAGATAGTAAATCCTCCACTTCCATATCATACAAATATAGATAGATATATACATAAATGATGTGTATATGATAGAAAACGTGATGTTTCTCTTTCTGGGTTCAACCCTTTTGTTAAATTTGATCATATCCTGGCCCATTTATTTCCATGTAAGTGACATAATTACATTCTCCTATGAATAAAACTCCGTTGTGTATGAATGCCGCATTTTCTTTGTCTAGTTATATTCTCATAAACATCCAGGCTGATCGAATAGCTTGGCTATTTTTACTAATGCTATAATAATTATGGATGTGCATGACACCTGTGTCATTCCATTATATACCCACATGATCTAACTGGATTTCATAGGAATTTTGTGTTTGTTTTTATTGTTTTCGTTTGTTGATTTTCTTGCATTTTAACTTGTGGGACCGTCATACTAATGTCCACCATTTCAGAAGTAGAAAACTCCCACAAATCAGTGGTTATATAGGCTATTTGGAAGGGTTACTTGTATGATGAGTCCTCTGTCCTGATAAAAATTCAGCAGTTTTATCTATACTCACTTTACCATGGGTAAAGGAAAGCTCAGAGAGACAGAACAACTGCTCCATGAGAAGTCATGGTAAGTCATGAGCAGATGCTATCCCCAGGATTTGAAGTCACAGCTGTATGAACCACAGGTCATTCACCATACGCCATCATTCCTCCCTCCCATAAAGTACTAAGAATCCCTAATAGTGGACAGTGTCCTTGATTCAGGAGAAGTGACACCCTAGACCTTTAACACAGAAGGAGAAATATGTTTAGCTATCAAGAATGAACAGAGAATGTTCATCTAATAAAATGACTCTTTGTAAAACTCTTCAGTAAAAATCTGTGGGCAATAAAGTTCCTCTGGAAGTAAAAGAAAAAGAGGCTCAATAGGAACACTGCCTACAAATGGGTGTGTGGTTGTGCACTGACCCTAGCCAATCAACCCATCAGAAATAGGTTTAAATAAAATGAAGCTGCTTAAAAATGGAAAATAAAAAAAATAAAAGGCATAGGAAAAGAAAGATGAAGGAGAAGAAAGGGAAAGAATGAAAGGAGTGAGAAGATGAAGAAGACAGAAGACGAAGAGGAGCAAATGAAGGAGAGAGGGTATAAAGAAGAGAGTATTTTTTCAAAGATCAAACTACAGTTCTGTGATCTGCAATATTTTTGGAAGAGCTCAGTGAAAGGTCACCAATTGTCATTCTTAATCATTTGTTTACTTGCTTCGTATAAACCAAACCTAGGCTTCCTTGGCTCTGTTTCACGTTCTCTCGTGTTGTCTGCTACAATGCCACGTTGCTCTCATGACTTGCATTCTTATTTCCTGGGTGGCACTAAAGGGCCTGCCCAAGAAATAAATAGTGGAGCGCTGAGGTCTCAACTGCAGAAAGTTCCCTGATCTCCATCTTGTACCAAAGGCCAACCCACAAGGGCTTCCTCAACATGAAGCTGGTCCTGGTCTTCATGCTGGCCGCCATCCCCATTTACTGCTATGCCAGCAGTGAGTTCTGTGGAGGGTGGGCAGTGGGTTCTGTGGAGGGGTGGGCAGTGGGTTCTGTGGAGGGGTGGGCGGGGGGTTCTCTGGAGGGGTGGGTGGTGGGTTCTGTGGAGGGGTGGGTGGGGGGTTCTCTGGAGGGGTGGGTGGTGGGTTCTGTGGAGGGGTGGGTGGTGGGTTCTGTGGAGGGGTGGGCGGTGAGTTCTGTGGAGGGGTGGGTGGGGGGTTCTGTGGAGGGGTGGGCGGTGAGTTCTGTGGAGGGGTGGGTGGTGGGTTCTGTGGAGGGTTGGGTGGTGGGTTCTGTGGAAGGGTGGGTGGTGGATTCTTTGGAGGGGTGGGAGATGAGGACTGTGGAGAGGAAAGTGGTGCGTTCTTAGGAAGAGTAGGCAGTGAGTTCTGTGGAGCGGTGGGCTGCTTTCAGACCACACACTGTTTCTGTTCTACGGAAGAGGCCCTAGTGCCTGAGCTCTAGAAATTGTCAACAGCGGTACAAAGTGTCTGATTCTATAGCCCTGAAACTCAACACTAGTCCAGATAGTCAAAGAGGCATCACAGATGCAGGTTGGGGCTGTGTGTGATGTGTCACTACCACACAGTAGGTCCCAAGGAGATGACAGCTCTCCTGAAATCCATGGCAGGTCTTGGATTTGGATATAAGCTATTTTATAGAAAAAGGGAAAATTATAAATAACACAGGACCTAAATGTTTTTACTAAAAATTGTACATAGAAATCTCTTTAATTGTGGAATGAGTTACTTCTCAAACTGCAGCATGAGACCTAGGAGTAAATAGTTTCTAAGCCATGACACAGACTGTCAAAGCTTGTTCTGACCCCTTCACATTGGGCCACTTACAGCCTAGTCCTGCTGGTAAAGAGGAGAGTTCACATTCCCCAAGTCCACTTGAAGTAATGACTGAAGTAAAGCTTTGTCCCTTGGAATGAAGTCGGTACAAACATGTCACGAGTGTAATAGACTTTGTATAATTTGCTTTGTTTATATCTTACTTATCTAAGAGGCTGATGCAAATGACAAGAAGGTGTAGTTCTCAGTTAATTTGATAGGAAAATCAGGGTTAACCTTGACCTCTTTCTCTTCCACTGGTTGAACAATGACATCGTTTCAAGTACAAGAGTTTATGGTTTATGATACTTCTGATGCAGATGATAGAGTTAACGGTGACAATGGCTAATATTTATAAACTACTGTAAAATACTTCACGGGGCTTACAAAGTAGCACTGAGATGCATCACGGCTACAAGAAAGAAAGACACAGCAGTTCACTGTGTCCCATCAGAACAAAGCTTCTAATTTCTTGCGTGTCATTGCTGACAAAGTTCAGCGAGGTTTGATGTCCCTTGTTGGCTTGTTAGGTGCAAGTTTGTAGAAACTAAAGGAATCTTGCAGTCGGCTTCCATTTTTCTGCATGAGGTCACTTCAAGTACCAGAGTTTCTGTTTAAGCTGCTCTGTGATTCAGATGCTCAAAATAACAGAGCAAAGTGGATGCTATTCTAACCATGATAGTTATAGGATGTTTGAACATATTCCATGATGTTCTCAAAACAGTAACAAAATGTGGCAGGCTTTGACCAAACAAAGATCCAAAATGCTTACCATACCCAGCCCAACAGCCTGCCATCTCTTCAGTGTCCTTCTCAGTGAAGGTTGTGTGAGGGTTTGGTTCTCTGTGCTGCCATGTCAGGGACAGAGTTTGCAGTTTCTGAGTGGAATCTTGCAACCTGCAGTTTCTGTCCCAGATTTGGCAGTGCCCACCACCTTTGCTAATCTGTGTCTCTACTTATACTCAGCAAGATGTTTGTGATGAGAGGTGACCACTATTGAGTTCAGACCTCCAGTGATGAATGCCATGTCTTTCCAGGTTCTGGCTGCCATGCAATGGATGAAGTCATTGCACAGACTATTAACTCATCAGTGTCTGTGGCTGAGTATCAGGGTGTGGTTAAGTCATATGCACCTCTTCCTTATGACCAAAAGGCTTTGGCCAAATTGAAACAATGTTTCCTGGACCAGTCTGAGGAGACTCTCACCAATGTTAAAGTGATGGTGGTAATTATACATTTTCCCTTTTTTCTATTATATTACTATATATATATATTTGTATGACATACACATATATGCACACGCCATATATATGTACATACTCATATATTTTATACATTTATATTTACATATATACATATTTATATATCCATATGTATATATTTCCACTAATGAGAAAAAGCAATTTCCAATGTTGTAACTGATAAGGTCCAAGCAAACATTGTCTATGTACTATTTCTGAACAACATAATTTGATTATGTGGTGACAATTTGTTCAGAGGAGCCATTGATAGATACAGCTGATATTCCATATTATTTTGAGGTTTTTAAAATAATTAAATAAAAACACAAAAACAAAGGAGATCACCCAGATTTCACTCTCTTATCCAATACCTCCCAATCACACAAACACAGGTACACTCATGCATGCACACAATTACACACATAAGCATGTCATGACACAGAGAAAGCCCTCAAATTCTCTAGTCAGAGAAAAGTACACTTGAATCTTAAGTAGTCCTGCTTTGCGTCAGTGACCAGGGACCCTTGCATTTGGTACCAATTCAGAACGAGTGCAGAAGACCCCAGTATAAGGATGTCATGACTAAGAGTCTCTTTAAATAATAATAATCTCTTTTCAAGCATAAAAATGTAGATCCAAGAAATCATCTAAAGTGTCCCTTTTCCATTTAAGCATTCACATGTGCCAAATCAACTTTAACCAAAACCATAGGAATACAATGGGCCTGAAAGTACTGGTGAGGGCTCTCAATTTGCTTCTAACAAATCTCATTTTTATAGAACACTGAAGAATTTTTTAAAGCTACCCTCTCTGTTAAGCAATCTTCTACTTGGCAGGTGGTAAGAGAATAGTAGCAGAGCAGGTCAAACTGAGGGTCATCAGATACCTTCAGCCACAGAGAGCTCTAGCTTCAGAGTGGGTATAGAATGAATTCCTATTGAAACAGCTGGGCAGGGGGAGGTTGGAGGTTAGAGGAGAAGGAAATCAATGGGAATCTTTGAAGAAGGAGCCAAAAACACATGGGTTTGTTACTGCTATTGTTGTCATGGTTTCTTGTCTCTTAAATGACAGAACACGTGCACCTAATTGGATTTTTCTCTAGAAGCTTTCTGAAATATTTAATAGTAATTGAAAATACTGAAAAAATAATTTTTAAAAAATTAGATCTTTTCTTTTCAATATCATAATGTAAGTCACTTCCTCGTTTATTTTTCAGAATGCTGTATATGACAGTAAAGACTGTCCACAGTCTGCCTAAAAGTTCCACAAGACCCTAAGCTCACAGTAATGAAGAGAATGATCATGAGCCAGCAGCTGATATGAAAATCATAACTTTTCTTTCTTGATTTTATCTTTCTGTCTATAAAGTGCAAGACTATTGTTGGTATCTCAATGGCATTTCTTTCTACTGATTAAATTAATTGCAAATACCAATACTTCTTTGTGTGATCTTTAAAAACTGGGGGCTTAAGAGGCCTGCTACCCTCCATTCTAGGACACACACCCACAGCTGCCTCCCGCACAACCTGAATGTGAGACTAAGAAAGGAGGGTGTCTCTCCCTGGACATGCTGAGTCCCCTCTCTAGAAAAGAAAGGAGCGTGTCTGTCCCTGGACATGCTGAGTCCCCTCTCTAGAAAAGAAAGGAGCGTGTCTCTCCCTGGACATGCTGAGTCCTCTCTGGTGAAGAGCTTCGCTACTTTTTCAACACCACCTCTATTCAGCATCCTTGGTATTATCCTGCTGGGGGTTAGAGGCTGGGATGTGCTCCCAGACCTGCTGCCACCAGGGCTTTGTGTCTAAAAGAATTAGGAGATAAAGATGGCCCCACAAATGCCACTCAATGAATAGGGCTCCGCGTGCAAATAGGTTCAGGGAAATGAATCATGATCATCTCAAATGAGGAAAGGGACTTTTACAAACTTCAGAGGCTTTTTGTTTGTTTGATTTTTGTTTTCTGGGTGTTTTAAGAAGTATTTGAAATACTTCTCTTAATGGCAAAATGTCTTGATGAACATACCAATCAAAGAAATAACAAACATAATAAATATTTCTTAGGTCAAAATTAATAAAATGAAAAACAGGATTCTAACACAAGAAAAGTAAACTGTTTCTATGAGGGACTGAGAGAAGCCACCAAGGAAAGACCAACAGCCACGCAAGCAGTAACAAGAGCGCTTTATTAATTCCAACACTAAGTGGCACACGGCAACATCACAACCTCCTTTTGAGCAGAGTTAGGGGAATTCCAGAGAGGAGGGATTAATGGAGGACTGACTGGTGGGGGAATTAGTCTGGGAACTGATTGTTGAGAGGAATTAGTGGTTAGGAACCTTTGTGCAGCAGGGTAGAGAAAGCTTTAGCTTGCAAAAGGTTGGGGGGGCATCTGCTCAGCCAGAGGAAGGGCTTTGGGCATCTGCTCAGCCAGAGGAAGGGCTTTGGGCATCTGCTCAGCCAGAAGAAGGGCTTTGGGCATCTGCTCAGCCAGAAG